CTTCACCGTGTAAGTCAATCGTGAACATTTGTTANGTCTCAGTGTTGTTACAACGGCTGCCCCACCTTTCAAGCCGAAACGCATTACTGCTTCACGGCAGAAATGGTCAGGGTGGTGGTACCTACCCGTGCGGACTCACAGGAAGTCTACCACCAGTAATTACGCAAATTATAATTTTGCGGGTTTGATTTTTATGATACGATGTTATTCCTTCACCGTGTAAGTCAATCGTGAACATTTGTTAAGTACGTATTTCATTAGAAAAATTGGTACCCGCCTCCGGAATTTGAACACCATTGCACCGCTAGATACGAATGCACTGGCTGTGTTATCCTTTAGGCCACGACGACTTCAAGCGATTCGGGATAGCCGTTGTATGTACATGTATTACATGTGATGTTTGTCGCCGACCTAACATTGCATTGTGCCCCAGTAATAAGAAATGTATAAGGTCATTTGACTAATACAAAGCTACGTGCCATTTTCGTTTCTATCGAAGTCAAGGTTCAGAGAATCACACTATTTTCCCCAAGGTAAATTACTGATAAGAACTAACTTTGTAATCAGTAGGTTGCGTGTGAACGACACAACCAAGTTTAGGTTATTACCAGAATTATTAGATTGCTCTTATTATTATTATTATTTTATTATTATAGTTTTTTTGTATTGTGTTTCTCGAAATACTTAAGATATTTCGGTATAATGAAGATCACGGGCCTAAGCCAAGTGAGCTTCATTTTCTACTTGCAGAATATTTAGGTCTTCCTGCAAGAATTGACGGACTATACGGCATGTGTTTAATATTGCGGATTTTTGCATGGTCATGTACGTGTTCTCTGCTATGTCTAATATTTTTAAAGATTGGAGTAGGTGACTATTCTTATTATTATTATTATTATAATTATTTTTAAAATATCTTAGAAATGTTCACTGAATGCTTTAATGGAGACATGTTCAAAATTGGTTGTACCTATAACTGGCACTACTGAATCAAGAAATGCGAAGAAATGCGAAACTCATTTACCTGGTCCTAGGTTGGTGGTCTGCTTTCGATGGCAATAAAACTTAAAATACAATTAGTGTTTTATTTATCTTAATGACCTACATTATTTGACAAACATTTGTGTCGCTGTGAATGACGTTACATTTTTAGATATCCTAAAGATAGCGCCTTTTGGTAGGCAGCGGCTTGGCTCTGCCCCTGGCATTGCTGAAGTCCATGGGCGACGGTAACCACTCACCATCAGGTGGACCGTATGCTCGTCTGCCTACAAGGGCAATAACAAATAAAAAAGATAGGTCCAGAATTGTTCCGTATTTTCAAATCTATATTTCAATTCTAACTATACTGAGACCTTAAAACTTATATCTCAAGGTGTGTGGCGCATTTACGTTATAGATGTCCATGGGCTCCAGTAACCACTTAACACCAGGTGGGCTGTGAGCTCGTCCACCCATCTAAGCAATAAAAAAAAAAAAAATCTAGATTGTGAATGTACATATTAATGCATTTGGGAATTTGTATCAATCAGTGTACTGGTAGAAGCTAATTGAAGCAACCATCGTCTATTATTAAACAATCGAATCATATCAGCTTTTAAATTACGTAACATGAAAATAACCATTACTTTTACTTTTGAAATTTCCACTTTATGGTTGTCTACCGGCTGTCACGCATCAAAAATCAATAATTTAATGATTTTTTCAACATCTAAAAATCCTTGCAACGACTCTCGCATAGTGGATCTACTGTGAAACAACAGTAAGCCCACCGAGTTTGTCGCCGGATCTTCTCAGTGGGTCGCGTTTCCGATCCGGTGGTAGATTCTGCGAAGCACTGCTCTTGCTAGCAACACTCCGGCTTGAGCCCCGTGAGCTCACCTACACACGTTAGGGCGAAGCTGAAATAGCCTCTCAAGGCTATCAGCATAGATAGGAAAAAAAAAGTGAAACAACAGGAATTATTGTGTATGAAAATCCTATCATGGAATCTATTAACTGTTTTATCGGTTGTCCGTGATCTCGAAAACTGTAAAGTATTCAAAAAGTCGGAAATATTGTGATAACAATTAAAAACGCCAGATGAAACCGTTAAAGTAATTTTAATGATGTCTACGAGTCACGAAAAATAAAGATTGTTCTATTTTGGAATATCGGATAAGAGAATACAAAACAGTTATGCAGTCTCGATAATTAGGATAAAAATGCTACAATCTATCTATATATATATATAAAAATGAATTGCTGTTCGTTAGTCTCGCTAAAACTCGAGAACGGCTAGACCGATTCGACTAATTTTGGTCTTGAATTGTTTGTGGACTTCCAGAGAAGGTTTAAAAGGTAGATAAATAAAAAAAGGCTTGGAATTAAATAAAAATAACTATTTTGTTTTTCCTTTAATGTGTCCCTCAAAAGTTTAGGTCTTTTATTTATCGATTGAGGCACTACGAAGTCTGCCGGGTCAGCTAGTTAAATATAAATACTTACTACAAATACTACTCTATTCATTTCCTTATTAATATCGTTATTGAAATAAAATAATTCTCCATCTTCACATTTAAGATCGATGTTAATAATTTGCATAATTTCATTTCAGACCTTTTCAAACAAAAGATATCTTACGTCAACAAAAGCATCAAGAGCATAACGAGAAAAGGGCAGGCTTTTTTTTTTAAACGTTGAAAAACCCTCAATTTCCATTGTTTCTCGTGTGTCAAGAGCCAAAAGGCCGTAAAAGGAATGAATTAAGACCTTTTTACGGGTCGCGTCGGAGATAATATTATGTACAGAGGGATGTCTCGGCCCTACAAAACTTTTTAGCATTTTAATTATTTAAATGTCAATGAAATGCATTTTTACTTGTTTCTATGAAACTTTTTTTAGACTCTACCTCTTCACGAAAAGTCATTGTTTTGGAAAAAAAAAATAACTATAACTCCTTTCAAAATTCAATTCGTCTGGTTGTACGAGCCCTCTAAGTAATGTATTGTTAATAACAGAAATGACGTTTGTTAGTAATGTTGACATGTAACCACCATTCATATTTACACATTGCCAAACTAACTTTAAGTTCACATCAAGAAACAATAAAGAAATAAAAGAAAAGTTACATAAACGAACTGTTTTCCTTATATCTCTCCTCTACTTAAGACTACGACTACTCGTATTTAAGGAAGAGTAGAATGTTGTTACTTAATTTCCATATTGACAGCCCTATATGCGATAAATTTTTCCATTCCATCAACCGTCGTAGGTATCAAATTAAATTTTACAGCATTCCTAACGCCTTTGAGTGCTAAACGAAAAAGTGTATAATGTTTTTTTATATTTAACATGGATGTTCAGATGTAGACGAAAATAACAAGAATTTGTTTTGGGTAATGAACACTTCTTCTTTTTCTTCACCCTATCCCACCAGGTGGGGTCAGCACAGCGAATTTTTCTATTCCATTCTCTTCTATCAGCCGTCATCTCAACACTCATTCCTCTCTCTCTCTCATATCGTCATTCACACACTCCATCCATGTCTTCTTCCGTCGACCTCTTCCCCCTCTACCTTACACTACCATTTCTATACATAAAAGGTGACAGGGGGATCTGGGGGCGGAATGAAACACTTTTTTTGAAATCTTATTCTAGTTAAATCTAAAAAACTCAACAAGGTATTTGAGAGTATTCTAGAAGGTGACATACCAAATAGTGACCAAAATGCTCGTTACACACACCATTTAACGTTGTACATTTACCCATAACCTTACCCATTTACATTTCCCCATAACCTTACCCCTGTACATTTACCCATTTACATAACCTTTTCTCTTGTGTTATGTTTTAGATAATATCGACGCTTGAAAGGCAAACGTGACTAAGCGACAATGCGTGAACTTTACAGTAGATTAATTTAAAGTTGAAATACCTGAAAAAAAATCTATTTTAACGAATCTAGCTGTAGGATTGAAATTATTTTAATAGACCTACAAATATATATTTTTTGCGCATCGAATATTGCCTATCATTTATGTACAAAGCAGTTATTGTCGCTTAGTCACGTTTGCCTTTCAAGCGTCGATATGTCTCAAACACACCATAAACACTCTTACCCAAATGTATTTTGCAAAGACACTTGCTGTAGCTGAAATTTTGTATTTTTTACAGATATATGTTTACAATTTTGGCCTAACCAAGAATTTGAATAGATTAACAATGAAACGTGAAATTATAAATTCATTCTAATCATGACCTGATGAAAGCATCATTCAAAACTCATTTTTAAACATGGATATTTTATTAATGTTTTCGAAATATTATATGGAGCAGAGAAACAGTGTCGCATCCGTTATAATGGTGCATGTCGTTCTCGCGGACTGCTGCCAAGTTTTAATTTACGGTTCCACAGAATTTATGAACCTTACCGCTCTTTACGGCAATATTTTTATTTTTCATTTCAGACCGCTGAATGCGAGATAACCTTTAAAATAAACATACGGACCCCGAACGAAATTAGACCCTTAGACGTTGTATTATAACTCTTACTTCAGCATTTTTTTGTTTGGTCCCTTAAATACGTAATTTGCATTTGTAACTTGCGAAAAAATTTCACTGGTTACCAAGCATGTTAAGTTTAATTGGACACTTGTTTAACATTATATTTTCAAACGAAGCGCCTAAATTTTACATTTGCGATAAAGGCGGTCCTAACGAACTTTTCTTTTTTAAGCCGAATTGGCGACTCCCAAACCGGTCGCTTCACTTTCGACAATCGGTCAGATGTTTGACCAAAACACGATCGACGACCGAATCATCTCGCCGAATGACTCAGAACGATTAAGTTTTTAGGTGCTTTCTCCCACACCTGCCCGAAAGGGGCACGGATCACGGATACGAACACTTTCCACTGGGGGAAATGGGAGCAGCGTTTTGCATGGCCTTGATTCGAGACAAGCCGCGTTGCCGCGCGTTATACACGGACACCGCGACCAGTCCACAGTCTGCAACGGGCGCTCGAATCGTATACCCGTCGATCTGGCCTAATCGATTTACGGCGCCGATACTTCGCCGCGAGTGATACTTTACTTACCTCTAGTGATCGTGAAGTGACACGAAAGTGATTTGTGAACAATTGCAAGGATATCGGGAGCAAATCTGGAGCGACACATTATCAACGGGAGGTGTGTTTTCTTTTACCAAACTTTAGTGGTACAACATATATTACTTTCAAAATATAATTGTTTGTTTTGTGAATGGATACCGATCGTTCAGTTGCTGTATGATATTTTCTACCGCTTCGAAGACGCATCGGCCCGGCATGCAGAGAGTCGTGCGTTTTTTATTTGTTGTTTGCGCAAAAAATGTGAAAGTTACTCGACTCGCATAACTTGAATATAGCTTAGCGAGCAGTTATCGCGCCGTCACGCTTTGTTAGTGCACCAGTCGCTCGTCCAATTAAAAATGAACGTATCTAACTTAATTTATTTTCACCTACATTAAAGTTCTTAATATTATTGAGAAACGTTATTTTATTGTTGTGATCAATTAATATTACAATCCGAATGCTTTATAAATTCATTATATCTGCACAAGTGATATTTGCGAGAGAGACCATAATAAATCAACAAGTGTGTAAAAAAATAGTTTCATTATTCCAAATAAGACCGTTTTATGTAAGGCTAAGTAATAATAAAAAAATTGGTAAAGCCGCCAAAATCAATCGAAGTTAGAAGTTTAAGCACCTTATTTGAAATTAATTTGAATGATCAAGGGGTTGTACAACGGTTACGGAAATATCACATGTGAATATTTGTAACCATATTTAATAATAAAAATATTTCGTTTTGAGCTCATGATTATTGCTCCTAGGGTGTCCTATAACATCCTTTATATATTTAATAGATTAATCTACATTTTTATACCTCATCGGTGCTTCCCATAGTTGAAAGTATTTTAGAACCGTAAAATTCACTCCATCAGTTGTCCATTCATACCAAATCTATAGCCTTTGTGAACTGTATATTTCTTCCTTCAATTCAAATTTTAATTTTAATAGTACGCGTGAATTAATTCATAAAGGCACGCTTCTAAATCTTCAAGTATGTGAGTAATTAAAGGTACAGAATTGGAATTTCCGCGTGGAATTTCTTTGGGTACAGGTAAAGTCCGACAGGAATAATTATGTATGGAAAATGTCGCACACATATTTCAGGTTCATATAACAAAATGTTGAAAACCAATATTTCAACAATTCCTTGTTCTTTAGAAATATTATGTAGGTAAATATAGAATATGCAGATGAAATATGTAGTACCCGATAGATGCCGTACAAAGATTAAGACTTCAAGACCTTTGATAGTCGTGCTATGACTGTAAATAAGTTTGTTGAAATTTAAATTTATATGTAGATTTTACAACGGCCACACTATCGTCCAAATATTTGAAGCCTTATTTCATAAAAATATTTATATTCAAATTAAATCCAAGTTGATATTTTGTTTCTCTAGTTCGGTGAACATTTTGGAACTTTTTAGAATTATGCCCTGGGCTTGGGATTGGAAAATAGGATAAGGGTGAGATGCGCCCGAGGTGGTATATACTTTGAGGGTTTTTATTAAAATTAATTAATTTGCCGGCGTTTCGACCCTCGGGATATTTCGTATCATTGCCCTGTCCTCTAAACGCCGTTCGGATTATTTTTGGATTGCAAGGACAATGTCATACTAATGATTCCCTGTAAATAGGAGTTTGTTGGAGTCGAACCGTTTGTCGTACAACAAACTGAATCAGAACTTCAGATTGTTCGAGACTCAAACAAGGCAGAGAAAGCCGTTGAAGAGTTTAGCGCGAAGCGAATCTCTTGCGGGAACTAGTACTATGGAATCAAAATACGGATCAGGCAGTAGTAAATTTTTTTGATCAATGTACAAACAGAATAAAATTTCATCTTAAATTAATTAGATTAATAATAAAGTAAACAGTAATTAAGACAATTTTTTTCCTACCTGATCTAATGGTCTTGAGAGACCATATCAGCGTCACCGGGCGAGTTGGTGAGCTCACGAAGCTCAACCCTGACGTTGTTGCTAACATGAACCCTAGCAAGAGCCGTTCTTCGCAGAATCTACCTCCGGATCGGAAACGCGACCCACAGAGAAGCTCCGGCGAGAAACTCAGTGGGCTGTGTCTGTGGATTATTTTACTTGCCGCGCTCTTCGTCGCAAGCGACGGGTTCTTAGAGAACGATGACCGGTGCTTGGGGTACTTAAAAGCACCGTTAGTGGACCGGGAGGATCCGGGATGACGTGTTTTGAGCGACGTCGACTGCTTACCATTCGGACCGCAGAATCGGGAATGAAATATATATATATTTTATGGTTTAAATGGGTGGACGAGCTCACAGCCCACCTGGTTACTGTAGCCCATAGACATCCACAACGTAAATGCGCCGCCCACCCTGAGATACAAGTTCTAAGGTCTCAAGTATAGTTACAACGGCTGCCCCACCCTTCAAACCGAAACGCACTACTGCTTCACAGCATAAATAGGCAGAGTGATGGTACCCACCCGCGCGGACTCACAAGAGGTCCTACCACCAGTAAGAGATTACTATACTGCTGATTCTATTATAAATATTTTTGTGTAAGATTTCACAAGATAATCATTTTCATCACATTTCGTTGTAATTGTCTTTTAAAGTTTTGATTTACGCATACAACAATTTGTGTAGTATGTATTTTGTGTCCAACATTGTAAAGATCTAGATTGTCTGGAATCCCTAATCAAACCTAAGCATTCAATGTTACTGTAATGAAATTAATAACAAAATTACTTACAAGCATTTAAACGGAATGTAGTTTGAAGTATAAATTCCTCAAATTTCAAGCGAAAGCGTTTCAATCTCTATAAAATAGACTGTTCAAAGACAATCAAAATTTTCAAAGGACTAGGTTAAAAGTGCTTCATTATGAATAAAGTAGTCTTTAATAAAGTTATTGAATTTCATTTACTGCTATCGAATTTCAATGCTTTATCCGAGAAAGAAAAAAAGGCTAAATCATTAATAATTAATTTAATTTTTCAATAGTAGACGAAGACTAATAAATAGCCTCAATATAAAACTATAAGTTTCATGTCTTTTTTGGTTATTAATTACTTATGACTTTTTAAATATTTTGATGAATAAACGGCGTCTAGCCGGTGTTGGAGTTTAGGTTGTGAATGTTCTAGAAGAAACGTTTATATAAATAACGAATATTTATTGAATATGAAGGAGTGCCGGAGTAATTTATTATTAAGGCTAAATTAAACTATTAAATTAGCGAGTTGATGTATCGTTTTTTTATTTATTTATTGCTTAGATGGGTGGACGAGCTCACAGCCCACCTGGTGTTAAGTGGTTACCAGAGCCCATAGACATCTACAATGCAAATGCGCCACCCACCTTGAGATATAAGTTTTAAGGTCTCAGTATAGTTACAACGGCTGCCCCACCCTTCAAACCGAAACGCATTACTGTTTCACGGCAGAAATAGGCGGGGTGGTGGTACCTACCCGTGCGGACTCACAAGAGGTCCTACCACCAGTAAAATGTATTTATATATTGTAAGGCTTACAAGACACACATACACATTTCATTAGTAGTTACATTACAATGTAAAAACTATATAGGCATGCATTTTAAATAGTGATTTCTACTAATTTACTACTTTGGCCTTTAAGAGAAATAATTAATTGAAATTATTTATCTATAAACTTAACGTAAAAGGGATAACGACCAATACAATAATTTAAAACTACTTTTACGGGTTTATCTCGTGTTTATTGTTTATGTCTACGGCTCGCGAAAGACCTATAAAATGTTTTAAAGGTTTTTCAGACAATTAAGACATTGTTTATGGTTTGTACTAGAACATTTAATCAGTAAGATAGTGTGTTTGAAATAATTTATGACCGGTTAAATAATGCATGATAATCTTAATTTCTAAATTCAAAATACGGACCTACGAAAATGGTTGATTATTAAACTTTGATTGAAGGCTCAATTTTATTGGATAAAAACTGTCGTATTCTACTAAATAACCTTTTAAGCTAGAGCTCTTGATTGCTTCAAGGTAGAAAGTGACAGAGCTATTCATACGAGTCATTTTCTTTTTCGTTGTTTTCCTTCTTTGTGGATGACTAAAAAGTAGAGAGTTAAAGAATAGTAGAAAAGTCAAGAAAGCATCATGAAATGCAATAAAACAATCCGATTGTATTTTTTTTTTTTGCCTATATGTGTGGACGAGCTCACAGCCCACCTGGTGTTAAGCGGCTACTGGAACCCATAGACATCTACAACGTAAATGCGCCACACACCCTAAGATGTAAGTTCTAAGGTCTCAGTATAGTATGTTTCCGATTGTGGTATCGCTAACAAGAATCGCTAATACTTTAAGATTATTATAACCATTAATCATTGACCTCTCCACATTAACATTTACGGTAGTGTTCAAGTATCATACTTAATTTAAAATCAAGTGATAGTAATCTGTTTTAACTGATTTCGGTTGGTATAAAAATTGCTTCAACAATTATAATTGATTGCTCTGCTAATTGACGGTTAGTCGAGTTTTCGTTTAGTTCATTCCATTAGTGTAAGAGCGTTCTCTTTTTTTTGTACACAGAATATGGGCATGTGGGATAGGTTGTGATATACGAATATATATATTTTATTGTTATTGTAGGTAAACAGCCATACGGCGCATTTGGTGGTGAGTGATTACCGTCACTCATCATCATCTTAGCCAAGAAGCTGCCTACCGCTTCAACGGCTTCAAAGGCTTCAAAGGCGCTTCAAAATCATACTAAATATTTTATACTTTCGTAGCTATCTACATTATATAGACTATTATTTAATTAGTTTTTGTTACGATTTTCTTATTTGCAAAACTCCAAAATGGCCCTTTAAATAATATCGTGTATATATTATTCATATCAAATTCATAATAAAACGCGCAATGAATTCACGAAAAGTAAATGAAGCTAAAAACCGACACTAAACGTTGAAACACAATTGAGCCTATCTACGAATCCCGAAGGGCATGTTAAATAAAGTCAAATATTATTTCATCCGACCCGTATCAGAGTATGACAAGCCCGTCCACAAAGGCCGTGTCTATTTTGTTTTTCGTTTGACATG